CTAAAACTTTGGAGTGAAGCACATGGTTTTATTTTCACTCCTTCATAATGCTCTCCTAACACTTTAAATACAGAAGACATTTTACAGGAGGAGACACCTCCCTAGAAACAGTGAGGAAGATTCACTCAGTCTTCATTTTTTAAATAAACTTTATATCTGAGAATAATTTTAGATTTGCAAAAGAAATGTGAGGATAGTGCAAAGTTCCCATATTTTCTACATCCAGCTTCTCTAAACCAAAACTGAAATATTATTTCAATAATACTTTATTCAGATTTCCATAGGTTTTACCTAACATCTCTTTCTGTTCCAGGATCCCATCCAGGATATCACATTACATTTAGTTGTTGTGTCTCCTTAGGGTCCCCTGGCTGTGGCAGTTTTCAGATTTTCCTGGTTTTGATGATTTAAGGTGTACTTATCCAGTATTTTATAGAATGCCCTCAACTGAGATTTGTCTGATGCTTTTTTCATAATTAGGCAAAGGTTGCGGGTTTGAGGAAGGCCACAGAAATGAGGTGTCATTTTTACCACATCGTAACAATGATACACGCTGTCTTCATGATTTATCACTATTAATATTGCTGACAATCTTCTCTAGTTTGTCCGTTTTCTCTAATGGTAGTTATTCTTTTTCACTCTTTTCCATATTGTATATACTCTTTGAAAGTCACTATGCACAACCCACACTAAAGAGGTGGAGAGTTCAGCTCCTTGAGGGAACAGCATCTACATAGATTTGGAATTTTGCACAGAAAATTTGTCTTCTTGTCCCCATTTATATATTAATGCAGTCAACTATTTCTATCTATCTGTACTCATGGATACTTATTACTCTGGGTTATAATCCAAAGCACTTATATTGTTGCTCAAATTATTCAAGCTTTGGCCATTGGATCTCTTTCCATTGGTGCCTGTGTCCTTTTGCCATGCTCCACATCAGTGGCGTGCTTTGTTTTTTGTTTTGTTAGCACCTCTTTGCTTTCTGGAACTAAGAGATGCTCCAGGTTCCTCTGGTATATTCCCTGCCTCAGCCTTAGATTTAGCCATTTGTCCAAGGAGACCCAGTTCCATATATATATATATTTGGAGCATGGCATCAGAAACCAGTATCTGGGCTTTGAAGGGTGAGAGCCACTGTTATTTAAAAATCATTTGCTATTAAACTGAAGAGCATTCATGTACCTTATTTCAAACTTGGTTCTAAGAAGGAAATTACAGCTTAATTTCTTAAGTATTTAATGATTTTAACAGTTCTTGTTCTTTATATTAAAGGGACTGAATGTTTAGGAACTGAGGAAAGGAAAGGTGGGTTACTTCTCTCAAGGTTTAGCCAAGTGCAGCATGGTAATTCAACGAGAAATAGCAGGGTGTATCTAAATCTAGGAGACGCTTAATACATACTGCCCTTATTCAAACCTTGCTTAAAAAGAATTATGATTCTTTTTCATATATGAGAGACTGGTTGTAGAAGGATGAAGAGGTTGCAACAAAGGAAGAGTATGACACACACCATCATGAAAGCAAATAACCACCTTGTAATTTTATGATGTATATGTGAGAGAAGCGGGCTTTAAATACCAGGAGTGGCTCTTTCATAGATGTAGTGTCGAGAATGAATTCTACCCAATGCCAGGACTTAAAGTGGTTTTAAAAACCACAAATATGTCCTATAATAGCCTCAGCTTACCAAATTTTCATGCTACTAGTATTGAGAATGTCTCCAAAATTACACAAAGAAAAAATTCAATTAATAAATAAATGGATGTCTCCTGGAGATCTGAACAGGTGAGATTACATTAAATGCTAGTCAAAAGGGCAATTGCTTTGCACCCAGCACACATACACACATACACACAAAGTACAACATATTAGATTCTATGATTGCTCCTCCTCCCACTTCACCTCCAAATAACACTATAGAGCCCCAAACAGATAACATATATATTGTGTGTATGTCAAAACTAATGACTAAATCCCAGCTCCTGGTTTACTCATGAAAACCAAGGACCACTCAGGGCTTCTGGAGCCCTGGAGTCCAAATACACGAGTCCCTACAGATTCTGGAAAATAGCTCTGACATCTGAGTTGCTTAACACTGCTAAGTTAATGACCAGATAGAAACATTTGGCACCCATCACCTAGATTCTTCTGGAGCTAACTGAGCCAGTCAGAGATGAGCTGGCTGAAAATTGGACATTTTAATTTATTGTACTCCACTCAGAAAGTTGATGAAGGCTATTCTACTCCAAATACTGCCTTGTCTTTTCTCATGGACACAAGTTGAGATTCAGAGCATGATGCAGTCTTGAGCCAGCAAAGATAGCAAAGACAACAGACACAAATAAATAGAAAAAAATAACTTCTTTTTATTTACAAAAAAAAAATCCAAATATTGGATGCTGTAAACAAAATTCACAATCTGTTCCCTCTAGCACTGATTCAAACATGTCGGTTTTTAAGAGTCCATTCTCCATCAACTCCTTTTCTGCCTGTGACACAGTCTAAAGTCAAAATATTCCAAAAGAATGACCCAAGGTGCAGCTTGCTGCAACAGGACGTTTCAGAGCAGGCAATGGTTGGAGAGAGGCTGGAGAGAGAGACAGCCAGCGGGCAGAGCCTCCTCCAATCTGCAAGGCTTTGCAGCAAGTCTCGCCAAGTTACCTCGACACCTTCCAACTTTGTACTTGTACCACGTACTTTGTTAGTAAGCCATTATTACAACAAAATATTACAGAGATGCTTTCTTAGCACTGAAAAGACTATGCTATTAGAAATCTTAAAGATTATATTCAAATAGGTGCTATATATGAAATTACTTTTTTTTTTTGGCTTTTTGGTTTCATCTAACACACTTTGTCTTCAAACAACAAAAAAGCATATTTTTTTGAATTGCTGATAGCTTTCAACATAATACATTTCATTTACAGAATAGTTCACAATATTTATTTGACAAGTATTGCATTGAAAACAACTTTATGCACAATAAAGCAACCAACAATAAGCAAACAGAAAGGGGTGGCAAAAACAGTATGTTCACTTTTCTTTCCATTTTCTCCTTGGCTTGGTTTATATTCTTCCATCCTTGCATTTTTGGGGGGAACCATGTTAAAATAGTTCACTAAAATACCAAAGTGAGCAGATGCTTGATCCCATTTCTGGAAGGAAAAGTCCCTCTTGATGTAGGTAGGACTTCTTGAGGCAACCATATTTACTGCAAACGAAGTAAACTTTTTAAAAAGGCATCGTTACAGGTTACATATTCTCTAACATGCCAGACTGGACAACTGCGAAGAGCCTCCAGAAGATAAAACTTCTTCCTATTTAAAATAACAGAACACTAGGCCAGATAAACACCAAAGCAAGCACATCACAGGCACTGATCAGGAGTTGAGAGTTGTTCTTTTCTCTGACCTATACATACAGATCTTTATCAGCAGACATTCAAATTTTTGGCCACACATCCACAAAGAGAGACATATATTCCACTGTTTATTGAACTACATATGCACAAGACTATAGTACATACAAAAGAGAAATAAATTATATAAACTTTAAAGTAAATGCTAAAGGTTCTCTTGAGTACAGGCTGTTCTATCTGAATGCCAGGTGCTGGCCCTTCCAACTATGCTACCAACCCTGGAATAAGCAAGAAAAGAACATAAATACTTGAGAAAAAAATGAAAAGTGTATTTTCAAATAAGGCTCCTCCAAACAAAAATCTGTCATAAATTAACAGCAGGTTGTTGCTATAGAAGAACCAGAGATCTCCAGATTATTTTTTTAAATAGTGGACAACTCATTTGTCAAGTTAGGATGAAAAGGAAAAAGGCAGATTACCAGCTTCTCTGACGTTCTGGAGCATTCCCTTAGTTTTCTTTTAGAAAACTTCAAACAGGTAAGCAGGTGGAGAAGCTCTGGTTTCTGATAGCTAAGTATCAGACTTATTCTGCAAATGGAATATTTCCTGGAAATTCAAAATTAATTTTTTCAAACCCAGGGCTGAGGAGAGGGAGACTGATCCAACATGGGAAAAGGAAAAGTTCCCTAGGAAACAGTAAGTGGCAGTGCAGTAGCTGTTACAGCTTGGTCAGAATTCACAGGGAAGCTGCTACAGCAAACCCATCAAGTTCCTGTTAAGGCTTCAAAGAAAGATGTGCAAAAGGTAGTTTGGGTAGATTAATTTGGCATTGAACATCTAATTGATGCCCAGATAACAAATAAACAAATTACACTGCCAAATAGGATGATGCCATTCTTTTTCCCAGTCCCTCTTTAACTGATCACAAAAATCTAGTTGGTTCTTAACAGAAATTATCATAGTAAGCAGTCATCCACTAGAGTTGACAAGGATTATGTGGCTGTTTCACAATATAAAGGGAAGATTTTTATGTGTTAGTTTTGTTTTTAATAAACTCATTTTCAAAAACCAGTGTCCAAAAACATTTAGGGCTGCGAGAAGAAACGTTAGGATTAGCTGTCATTGAGCTGAAATAGTAATGCCAGTTCATTTCACAAAGTTATAAATGGTTTCTTGGGAAAGAGAAAATAAAGTTGGATTTGATTCAATTCGAAGTGATTGAATTTAAAGTACAGTACAATATTTAAATGCAGTGTGACAACCAGATCAAAGATGTTTCATATTGGCATGAATTTATAAAATTTTATATATAATATATATCTCATATATAAATTGTAAGCAATTGTGCAAATACTCTTTAAAAAGGGTAATTTCACATTTACTAAATTCTAGTGGTCCTGGAATGCAGAATGCATTCATTAAAAAAATTAATTTAAATATTAATAAGTAGTGTTCAGATCACCAGAAATTCTTTTTAGCAGTCAGGGATTTAAATAGACTACCATGAATCCATGATCCACTGGATTATACACCATGGAAACATGCAAGTATTACAAAAAAATAAAAGGGTTCAAACTGTCAAATGGCACTTCAACTTAAAAAAAAAAAAAGAGTGCTCTGCCAAACAAATATTCTCCCATTTGCAGAATTCTATGGCTCACAAAATAAGGAAAAGGAAAAAAAAAAAAAAACACAAAACACTCAATAAAAATGTATAATCTCTGTTCTTCCTATCAAATATATTACTTGTTTTCCTCCTTCATTTGCTTTTAACTTTTTTAAATGTGGGTTTTAATTCATCACTGCAATATGCCCACGTCTCATGTCATCCTGTTGAAACATAAAAACACACAGTATTTAAACATTTCCTATTTGCTACATTATTCTAGACCATAGTCAATGTGTTGTGTGAATATATTCATATCACAAATATGTCTATATACACACATAATATACATACACATGTACCTACAATAATATCACACCAACAATGGTAACTTTATACAAGTATTTGCCAAGAAAAAATAGGGCATTTCTTCCACCATTCACAAGCTTATGTTGTTTTATTTTCTTTAGTCCCTGATAGAATAAAATAATCATTAAACCATAAAAATTTTTCATTTCAAATTTTCAGAAGGCAACAGGCACTTTGATGTATATTGGTGTGTAACAAATATAGTAACTCTTTATATATTCTACTATATCTCTTCTACTTGGGAATTTTTATCTGTTAAATCTTTGGTCCTTGAGCATACTTTCCTTGCTACCGTTGTTTTAGCTTGCATTTTCACATTTTAAAAATGCGAGCTATGCACGCAGCTGGAAATAATGGATTGTGTCATCACAAGTTCTGCTGTTTGTTATGAAAACTGCACCGACCTACTACTGTTCGTTTGGAGTAAGCCATTTCTGTTAGCGCAATAAGATAGTTTCACAGAAAGCACTTCCTACAAGCTTCAGATAATAATCCCAATGTTGGAGTTTCCCTTTTTCCTGTATTATTTACTATCTGAACTCCTGATTTGATAATTAAGTTGGGGTGTGATCTTTTCTTTTTTTCTCTGAATTTTCCCTCTTGTAAATTCCATCTTATAAGAAACTCCACCTTTTTCCCCCCTATGGCAAAGCTATGGGAGCAAGGTACTGCAAACCCATATTGTCATCAAGCATTTTTCCCTTGTTATTTTAAGAGAACCTGGTTTTCAATGACAGGTTTCTTTTGTTTCAGAATAGAATTTGATTGGGTAAGAGAATTTGGCGGGTGGGTTGATGGTGGGTGGGGATCATTTCAAGATCATGCTCCCATACCTACGAAAGGATTCATAAGCTTTACCAAACTTAAAACCAGGAGCAGATCATCATTGCACAAAAAAAATCCTAATCAGGGTTGGGTCACTCAGCCTTTTTTTTCTTTTTCTTTTTTCCTATCTTGTCTGAAATGGCTTCCCCACAGGACATTTTTAAATTATTCTTAATTGCAGGGTAGCCAAGTAGAGTATGTCTGTTGCTGGCATGTGAATACTGGCTGGACCTGTGCAATGTAGTAATTGCTAAAGTTGGCATCTGCTACATAGGGGGCCGGCTGGTAATAGCAAGTGACATTAGCCACGTTAGGGATGACATTTTGGTCAGCTAGCACCCGAATAGCCAGCATTGTGATAAGGTTTAAAGTCTGTCTTCTTTCATGTCCCATCAGGCACACTGTACTCTCATTCACCACTCCATGAAGGGTCATGAGATAGTCATACTTGCGGTCTTCCAATCCCACGAAGTGGTTCTGTAAATAGGACTCCAGTTTTCTCTGCTGCTCTCCAATGTCTGAGAAGTCAATGAAAAACCTGGAACACATATACCTCTGAAGGGTCTTGATCTCCTCAGAGGCGGGCCTAAAGCCCCTCACTAAGAGGTTGCAGTACTTCAGTAGGCCTCCCCCTCTGATTTCCTCTGGGTTCCTGGTGGCAATGATCTTGTTACAAAGGTGATCAAAGGCTTCATGAAAATCACCATAGACGCTCTCACCGATTATTGTGGGGTGAAATGTTTCAGTCATTGGGTTCTCTGAACATTCGTAAAAGAGGAGAAGAGAGTCTAATTTGATTTGAAAAGAATCTACACTAAATTCAAACTGCCTCCGGAGGGAATCCACAAATTTCAGTTCCACATTTTTGCCACTGTTGTTTGACAGGGATATAAGACTCCATCGGTCAGAGTCATTGCACACTTTAACCATTTTCTGCACATAAGCTTCCTATAATTCAAAAGATAAAACAAGATGAGCATACCTAGAAAAAATAATAAACAAATCCATCCTCTTCACAGATGAGATTTATTTTGCTCCTTCCTTTTTGTTTGTCAAGTTTCAGCAAAACACTACCTACAGGCTTAAAACAGTCTTCTGAAAACGGGGGTGAGGGGGTGGGGGGTATATAACGAGTGGTTTTACCGTCTGGGAAACAGACTAGAAATAATAGTTTGAGGCTTTTGGCAAATGTAGCACAGTACTAAGAGGTTCTGTTGTCATGTCTGACTTTTTAAATGTTATTTTTTGAAAATGCTCTTATAGGCACAATATTCACACAATATTCAAAAGAAAGAAGAGCATTCAGAGAAGTTGGTCTGCCTCTCATTCTTGTCTCTAGTCACCCAGTTCACCTCCCCCAGAGACAACAGATGAGATCAGTATCTTCTTGTCTGTTCCTCTAGGGGTGTTCAGCAGTTACAATCAAAATGAACTATATTAGGGCATTCTGGAGGCTGATTACTTAGACAATTTTAGCCAAATGTATAAAACAAGCTTTGAACTAAAAAGAGGAGGGGAGGTACCCACTATATCCTAAACACATGAATAACCCCAGAGAAGCACCAGTATATCCTAAGCACAGAGAGTCAGCTGGAAACAGCTAGAAAACCTATTCACATTTTCCAGTACAGTAAGCTCACTGGCTTGGTTCTGCTTCAGGTTGCTATTTTCCCAAAGACTAGATCATGAAATGATTCAAAAAATGATTTACATCATTTCATTCTTCCACTTACAATCTACTCTGGAGAAGACTCAAGCAAGGAAAGCCAAGAGTTAAAAAATAAGAAGGAAGAGGGTGGGCAGAGAAGGAAGGAGGAGAGCTGTGGCTCTGAAGCACTAAGTAAAGTAAAACACTCAACACCCTTCACGCACCTTAGACTACTTATTTAAAATATCAAAAGCAAAATAAATAAGCGCGCCCAAATCCTTCACAGCCAGAGATTTCTGGCAGCTTCTCCTTTCCCCTAGCCCTTCGAACCCCGGCCGGCCCCGGGAGGGTGGACCCAAGCCCCTGTTGGGTGACTTTACCTTGAGCGTGAGTGGTGTGATCTTCTCTTTGTTCACCCCTTCGGGTAAGAAGTCCAACAGGCAGTCCAGCACGACGTCCTTCACAGTCTGAAACTCCTCTTCCCCGCGCAGGTCGGCACAGAAGATGAGGTCCAGGTCCTTGTAGCCCAGGCCGCTGTCCTGGTGCAGGACATGGCTGGCGGCCGAGCCGTTGAGGCGCACGTCGCGGACCCCGATGCGCTTCTCCGCCAGGCGCCGCCGCACCACCTTCACGATCAGGCTCGGTTGCAGCTCGAGCGTGGGGAAGTTGCCGCGTCCGTGGATCGGGATGGTCTCGCTCAGGATGCCGTCCAGCCGCTGCACTTGCTCCCAGTTCAGCACGTTGCAGTGCGCCGTGGGGCTTTCGCAATAGTCCAAGCAGTGCTCGCCCAAACCGCCGCCACCGACGACGTCGCCGCCGCTAAAGTCGCCGCCCAGGGGGATGTAGGGGCCACCGGCCAGCTCGTCCTCGGCCATGGCAAAGTACCCTTCACCTTCCGCCATGAAGTGCCCGCCGAATGCCACTTGGCCCTGGTCAGTCCTAAAAAAAAAGGGGGGGGGGAGCTCGGTGAGGTCGCGTGGTGGCAACAAGAGCGCGCAGAGAAAAGAGCGCGCCCCCTCCCCAGTGCACCCCATCCCCGGTTCGTCCCTAGGCTAGACTGGGGGATTCCTATGAGACTCTCTCTCCTCAGGTCCCCGCTATCCCCGGCCCCCGAGCGCCGCGCCCCGCGCCCCGCAGAGCAGCCCCGCACCAAAAATATCTCTGATGCATCTGGAAAGCGCAAGCGGGAGTCCCGTCTGTGTCACCTGGAGACGGCCGCCCCTTCTAGGAGCGCAGCGAGCAAAGAGCCGCGAAGCCGCAACACTTCCAGGAGCAGAGAGTGCGCTCCCGGCAGCAGCGAGCGACTTAGTCCTTCCCAGACCCCAGCCGCCGGCGCTGGCCAGTCCCGCCCCTCGCCCCCGCCCACGCCGCTGCCGCCTCAGCTGCGGTGGTCCCGGAGGTGGCGGCTCTTGCTGCCGCCGCCGCCGCCGCACACGCTCCTGTCTCTGGAGCTTTAGCAGTTGTGCGGGAAAAATGTCTTCAGTACTTTTTTTATACCGGACCTCTCCGGCTTCCGGGGCCCCGGCGCGGCGCGCTGGCCACACCCTCCTCATCTGCATAGGGCACCGCCCCCGCCCCCGGCGGACAGTGCCCGGCTGAGCGCCGCCCGCGCGGCGAGCGGTTCCTGGAGTTCCTGCCAGTGGTTGTGTGTGTACATACATATATATGTCTGTATTTCTGTACATTTGACATACGAACAGCCCCCCCCCGCCCACACTTTCCCCTACAGGAGGCACCAAAATGCTTAGCGTTCTAAGTGGCCCTCAAAATAGTATCTCAACTAAAATCTCGCAACTGCAGAAACTTCCCAAACAAAATTCTCGCCGTACACGGCGCGTTGTTCCAGCCTCACGCTGGGGCTCCGGCGGTTTTTCACGATCTGTGGTGTACAGCTTGACCGTCTACTTCATTAAGAAACCGGGCCTCCTGGTGCGCCGATGAAGACACTTGTCCATGCAAATCAGTCTCCGCGCCTGAGGGGAAGGGCTCGCTCCCTGGGTTTCGTTTCTCGTTTCTCGAAACCTCGGGAAGCGCTGGCAGCTGCGGCAGACCCTGAGGAGGCGCGGGGGCGGGGCCGCGAACGTGCGTCCGACTCCTGCGCCCCAACGGCTCGGGGCGCCGGGAGCGGGGCGCGGGCCAGCGAGCGTCACTTAGCGACGCCCTCGGGGCTTCGGCGCGCGAGGCGGGTCGGCGGCGCGGGCGGCGCGCGGCCGTGTGGCGCGCGAAGGGGCCCGGCCGGACTTGGGCGCGCGGCGGGCGCCCTGTCACAGAGAACCCAAGGAGGCGAAGCGCGGTCCTCGCGCCGCGCTAAGGTTTGTCTTTTTCAGGTGAATGTCAGCGGACCGTGATCGTTTTCCACCAAACGCGAAAGCACAAGTTTAAAAGAGCTAAGAGTCCCTCCCCCGGCGTCCGTCGCCTCAGCCGTGCGGAAGGAGTGTGATGGTTATCCCCACGCGCACTCGCGCTCGCACCACCATCTTTGCTAGAAAGCTCTCCCTCCTGTCCTCTGGCCCTCCGCCCCGGCCGCCCGCGGCCTCTTCCCCAACCGAGAGTAACTTTCTGCGGCTACGAGACGCGAGGTGGGAGCCACGGGGAGCGCGCCTGGGAAGGGAGAGCGGAAAACTGCTTCCCGTGGCGCTCGGCACGCGGCCGCCCGGCCAGGAGGGAAGCTCAGTCCGCCGCGCCTGGGGGGCGGGGGACGGTCACCCGCGGAGCATCCAGCTGCGTGACAACGCCGCCCCCTGCCGGTGCCCTGCAGAGCGGTGCCCCGCGGAGCGGTGCCCCACCGCGGAGAGACGGGCTGGACCCTAGACGGAGGCCATTATCCTTCAGCTCCGTAGGGTGTCCGGGGAGGGAAGCCGAGGCCACCGCACGAATCTCGTAGGCCATGCCTCCCCCAGAGCGCACGGTCCGGCCACCCACGCGTGAATCAACCCATTCATTCTCTACAGGCATTCCGAAAAATCGCATCTGTGTGTGTGTATGGTTTGACCACTGCCGGGCACCAAGCTGAATGCTGAGTCTCATGGGCGTGAGACAAGTACGTGATTAGGGTTCAACGGTCCACGTGTTATGAGAGAAGTATGCTCTGACACGGGGTTCGTGGGTTCGCTAGGGTTAGGGGAACTGGGAGAAAAGAGCGGAAGAGAGAGGGGAGTTTTCTGGATTCCCTGCGGGAGCTGAGGAAGAAGGGGAAAAGGATGATCAACAAAGGAAGGAGTGAAGGAGAATTAGAAAATGCTGGAGGAAGAGTGTGTGACCCACGGCGGTAAGAAATGAGATCGGCGGTGCGATTGCATCGGGTCTCTGCAAGTTCCAGGAACGTGTTGATGGCGTCTGAGCCATACTCTACTCATCTCTGTACACATAAAACCACATAGTCCCCTCAATTCAAAAAGAAAGTGTTCTGTGTCGTAGGGATTTGGAAATAGAGAAACTAGAGGTAAAGAGATTTGCCCAAGTTTCATGGCTAATGTGGGCTCAGACCCTAAACTCAATCCCTTTGACTATGACTGCTATTTAGCCATTATTTTCAGGAACAGGATGTCTGTAGTTTGCCAGTACCTTCTAATTGGAAGGCAAGAACAGTAGAAATAGGACAAGGGTTTAAAAGAAAAAGAAAGGGCCTGTTAAAAATGTAATTTTCAAAGGCTACTATGGATTCTGATCCTCCTCAAAACAAAGCCAAAGAGGTAGAAATCATGCATTAGGTACATTGTACTGAGGAAAAATTAAGGGGTTAGCCCCACTGCCATTATTTTGTACTTTATTATTATAATTATTATTTATCCTCACCCGAGGACATTCCTCCATTTTTTGCTCAGATAGAGTGGGAGGGAGAGAGAGGAAGGGAGAGAGAGAGAGAAACATCGACGTGAAAGGGACACATCGAGTGGCTGCCACGCACACGACCAACCAGGGCCGGGTACAAACTGCAACCGCGGTACATGCCCTTAGCGGAACCGAACCCAGGTCTCTATGGACTGCAGACCAATGCTCTAACCACTGAGCCAAATCGGCGAGGGCTGTACTTTATTTTAACCCTTCCTCAAAACAAATACTGTAGGGGGAAAAAAAGAAAGTAGGAAAGTCTCAGAAGTGGTGAGCACCTGTGCTTCATGCATGCCCAAGGTTTGGTTCTGTGGGGCTAAAAGAACCTACATTTTAGCAAGTTGCCCATGTAATCCTGACTGCAGCTTGGTTCTCTAGGTTGGAACCCACTTCCAAGCGAAAGCTACACTTCTCTGCCCAGCTGCCCCTACAGCCTCTACCAAGAATGACCGGTATGGCTGGAAGTATAGAGTACAAGGTCAGACATGGCGGGCCTGCCATGCATCAGACCTTTGCTGGGGAGAAGATGAGTCCCCTTTAACAAAGCATACCCTGCTCCCCAACTGGGTTCTCTCCTCACCACAACCTTCCAAATTTCCATAATCCAGATCCAACTACCTCTTGCACTAGGACACCTGGGATATCTTCCTTTTAGCAGTGCCTTGGTGGTGCTTTGACTAGATTCATGTGTGCCTGATTCACAGTGGCCCTTTTACAGATTGTTGGATGAGAGCATTTGCTGTTTTTTTGTCCCCTTTTTCCCTAAATTCAAATTGAGGTAATATTTACATTGGGGTGGGGATGTTCATCTTTACATGAAATTGCAAATTTTGCAATTGCAAGCACTTACTTTTTTTCTAGAAAACCAAAATAATTATTAGATGAGAAAGTATATACTTTCTAAACACATTCATACCCTAGACACCTCTCAACACAGTTACTCTTAGATTAAATTTAGGTGCAGAGTTGCAGGGTTTTTTTTTTTTTTTTTTTTTTTTCAGGCTTTAGTTTCTGAACCTATTTGGTAAATACTTGCCTTTCCCCATTTAAAAAGGGGTTTTGGGGGACCTATGGCAATATGATGTTTTGAATTTCTACTTGAAATTTTTAAAAGAAAACTTTATATACATTGTTGAGGAAAAAAACACTTATAATTAGTTGATTTTGATTTAAAAGTTGTAATAACAATCATTTGAACTTAGCACAATAAGAAGAAATTCAATTTTAGCCTTAATAAAAGTTACCATTATTTAGTTTGTTATAATGTGCCAGGTAGTATGCTCAGTGTTTTGTATACATTGTTTATTTTAAACTTTCTTCAAATATCAAAACTTTACCTATTACACTCCCATTTTCCAGATAGGGAAAATAAGGCATAGGAAAATTAAGTAACTTACAGAAGTGGTAGACATCTTGGTTCAGACCCACCCATGCCAGTGGTTGCTCTCCTATTCCATTTAATTCTCGAGTCTGTCTGCTCCCTGTCTTCTCATTTCCCTTTTAGATTTAAAACTAAACTGGACTGCACTCTGCTCCTTTCTTTACACATTCTGAATGTTCAGCTTGGACATAACATTGAGGACCAAGGTGTTTTATCGTGAAACAACTGTTGAGGGTCAAAATGCACAGTGACCTAACCCGGCTCATGGGATTTTCTTCCCCAGGCACGAATGACAGTAGAGAGCTAGCAAGCTAAACAGCCTTCCAGAGAGCTTGCAAGAAACACCACTGACATTGAAGCACAGTGTGAGGTTTGGAGAATGCCCCATGTTTACTTGGCAGTGGTACTACCATTCCCACTTTGCTTTGTCTGCTTCTATCTTCTCAGAAGTGATTTTAGAAGATAGGAAGTAAGCAAATAAGGAATGATTTCCACAAACTCATACCCAGGAGAGAAAGAAGGCCCAGAAAACTGCTGTTAGGCCTACAACTTCTCTCTCCCACAGCACTCTAGCCAATCTCTCCCCATATTCTCATCTCCCCCTTGATCTTTTCACCAGCCCTCTTCACTCTCTCCATTGATTTACCACCTTTCACTGCTTCTGCTCTTTGATCCTTTTCACAAAAAGTGATATGACCCTACAGAAGCACCTTGCAGCCTAGGCAGAGCAGTGGCAATATGAGGAATTTGAGCCACCCTTCACCCCCTGGCCATTCACTGCCTTATAGGGCAATTCCCTGTGATCGTTGAGGCCACTGAAGGACACAACATGCATCCTTTTCGAAGAAGCATGCACTTGCAGATGTCTACATTGTGGAGTAAACTAAAGATCTCTCTGCTGTCCAGTTAGTATTAAGAAGCAACTAATCAAAGTGCTTCATATAAAAATTAAAACTTACTTTTGAAATGAAATGACAGTAGCCCCTCTTTATCCTTGGTTTCTCTTTCTGTGGTTTCAGTTACCCGTGGTCCAAAAATATTAAATGGGAATTCCAGAAATAAACAGTTAATAAGTTTTAAATTGCTTACCATTTGAAATAGTGTGATGAAATTCCTGTGGTCTTACTCTGTGGGATGTAAATCATCTCTTTGTCCATCGTCTCCACACTGTAATGTACCTACCTGTTTGTCACCTAGTAGCCTCTTGGCAATCTCAGTATTACAGTGCTTGTGTTCAAGTAAACCTTGTTTTACTTAATAACAGCCCCCAAGTGCAAGGGTAGTGATGCTGGCAATTTGGATATGCCAAAGAAAAGCTGTAAAGTGTGTATGTATGTATGTATGTATGTATGTATAGAGGGAAAGGGGATATGGAAGGTTCAGTACTATATGTGGTTTCAGACATCCACTGGGAGTCTTGGAACATATCCCTCGTGGATAAGGGGGGGAATACTGTACCTGTTTCCACAGAGAAATGGTACTTGTGAAATGACTTTACCTGTGTCTCTTCAGGGAAATAACAAATAATTATTTAGGACTTATCAAAGGCCAGAAACATCCTAAGTCATACAACTTTCTAGGTTAGTTTGGAAATAGCATTTCAACTTTTTATTATCTGTATGATTATTACTAATCAAGAGGTTAACTTTTATAGTTTTAAACTTCAATCCTTTTTATTCTATATTATCTCATTTTCTCTTCAAAAATATTCTGACCAATGTACAGTCCAAATTTTAGAGATAAAGAAAGGTTAGGTGACTTTCCCCAAGTTAATATAGCTAGTTATGGAAAAGTTAGCTTAACTGAGTTGCTGTCAATCATGGCTAACACCCCTTTTTCTTGACCCCACTATTTAATCTTATATCAGTGTGAGTGGATTAAAATGATCAGTAACAAATAGTTTAGTATGAAGGGATCCTCTAACTATACTCAGGGTTATTTGTGTAGACTAAATTCTCACCTGTTAACATCTTATAAAGCATTGCTATTCTACCGTTAAGTATCTTATAAGTGTAATCCGAAGGTGTTATTTTTCAGAATATTTATTTGAAGTTTATGACCACATAAAAATAATTCTATTCATTGTCACATATCAGTGAGCTTAGGAAATTCAGTATTCAAGCTACACATATGGTCACTCTTAAAACCGAACTTGATGTAGGTTGTCCTTTAGTAGAGTTTTACATCACCAAGACTAGCCAGTATTTACTTGTGCTACTGTCAGTGCTGATTATGCCAGGAATTTTTCCTGTTTTGACATCTTGGTGCAATGCTTGCCGTTTCAATCAGTGTTGCAAGTCCCATGGTCCAGACTGTTTTGCTTACTCCAAACAAAAGAGACATTCAGAAGTTACATTCATTTGGCAAAATGTAAACTGGTAATACACATATATTTTCAAAAACTACCAAATATGAATACGTAAATTCCTTTTCCCCACAGTAATATTTGTATTATGAGTTTTTCCTTCTGCAAGTTTGTACTGGAAGAATGTTTAACTTCTCTGAAGAAAATGTTGATGTTTATTTACTTTTGGTGCTTGTAAAACTTTGAGAAGGGTACAAGGGGGGGAATATAATAAATTATTCCTCTTTTCTAAAAGGAATTTGGCCAAAAATATTCATGTCTCTTGTGGGGAAAAAAAGACCATCTTTTATGGGTATATCCAGCTCATTCTTAGCTATTTTTAAAAATTATATATACCCATTTTGCTAGCACCATTTGATATGCTAAATTCAGAAATTGCATAACTGCCATATGAATTTGTAGCAGCTACAGAGGTATATTTATTCATATGCCTAAAACATTCATTGATTTAATAATAACATTTCTACCATTATTTTGTTTTGGAGGACTTTTTTTTTTTAATTAACTTCCTTCGCTTACCTCAGAATTATTTGCTGCCAAAGAAAGAAATAACAAATTAAATAAATAAATAGTACAGTTAATATTATCTTGATGTTTAGGAGAAATTACTATGGAATGTGATAAACAACCAAAAAACACATTGTCATAGAAAGTCTGAGAAACTGAACACAACAAATAAAACTTAAACAAAGATTTTTTTTTATTATTATTATTATTTTTTTTATCCTCACCCGAGGATATTTTTCCATTTTTTTGTAATGGATAGAGTGGGAGGGAGAGAGAGGAAGGGAGAGAGAGAGAAACATCGATGCTGCCACCCGCACGACCAACCAGGGCCGGGGACAAACTGCAACCGAAGTACGTGCCCTTAGCGGGAACCGAACCCGGGTCTCTCCGGACCGCAGGCCGACGCTCTAACCGCTGAGCCAAACTGGCCAGAGCTAAACAAAGATTTTTTTTTAAAGCTACTAGAATGGCGAATGCTTTTAAAAGACTGTTGTTTTTTAACCGTGCAAATGACTCTGGGAAGAGAAAGCTAACCTAACCTTGAAAATCCTGGGCTCCTTAAATAAAATAGCTGGGAAACCAGGTAGGGTGGGGGTGGGGTACACCAAGACACCTGGATATATTCTAACAATGTAGAATAAAAGAGATTTAAATTTAACTTTCTAGTAAAAGGGAAGCCTCCAGGATGCTAGTTAATTAGGCATTAATTAAGACAGTGTAGGGGGTAAAAAAGAGCTATTAAAGTTTTGATATTCGAACTGTGGAAGCATCTGACTCCGAGAAAATTGGTTTCTAATAACCCACAACTGCAACAAAGGTAGTGGGTATTCAAAGGGAGTTTAGACTAATACATGGTTCAATAGCCACAGTTTAGATAAGTTAGATATCTCTAAAGGGCAATTGAAGAACTGCTCTTCAGGTTTTGAAATTTGTAATTATTCAATGAAATGAGTAATTGTTTAGTATAAAAGAAGTGGCATTCTTAGTTTTTCTTAGCAGAAAGCCAGGTTAAAATATTAAAAGAGGGAAATAAAAAAAAAAAAGTCCTTGTGATTCTTTATCTCGTACCTCTCCCTAGTTTTTATTAAAATTCTGAAGATTTTTTTTTCTCTGACGTTAATTTGGTAACCACATCCTATTCCATCTACTTAATGTGAGTTCTGTGTGAGCAATAGTTTAACATCCTCCCAGTGACCAGGAATATATGACTTTGTTGTGTGCTAAAAAATAAATGCTTTTTGCAAGCACTTGTAACTTGTTTAGCCTGACATGTCTTGAAATGTAACTGATGTGTTTCTGTGGATTACAGGGTTGTTGAGGAAGTCATTGTACTCAGACATGACACAGTCAGCTTTTACACACCTGAGCAGTGGAGACACCTGCAAGGTGAGTCCCTTTCATGCTCAGAGTAGTACATGTATATTTTTTAATTCATTATTCAAAAAAATCAATAACTCGAAAAAGATAACATCAAGAAGAGTCATTATATTTTACTTCAAATTTTATTATAACAGAATATTATATTTATGTAGTACATTGCAAAACATTCTACTTTATGTAACTCGAGACCAAGTGAAGAGGTGACTTTAAAATATTTCTGACATGAAAGTAATTACCCTTTGCGTATTGGATAGATCATTATTTTGAGTCACACTTTCTTTATAAATCACAGAAAATGAGTTATCATGACTAATTCTTAATCCATTTTACATCTAAAGATAGCAAAGATTTTGATTAAAAAATTGAAAAACAGGCTAATTATTTAGATGTTTTATGTACATGATATTAAACAGCCAGATGTCTGGTTAAAGTTCTTGTTTTCAACAGAGCAAAATGGAAATTTCAGTTGTTTTCTAAATTTAATTAAAGGCCAGTTTGATCAAAACATTTACTCTGGAACTTGCATTATTGATTTTAAATGCCTGTATTGATCAAATTAACCAGAGACTTTACAAATGGTGGTTTATGTTGCACTAAAACGTGGGTAGCCTGAGCCTTCAGCTCCCCTCAAATCGTAATGTTGTGTACTACACCCAAATCTGTGATTTGTAGAAGGGTTGGAGGCATTGGATGTAGCCTCAGTGGGAAGTGAGACTATGTGTGTACACATGCTTATATCTCCTCTAATTTTTTCCCTAAATATTTGTTCTTTCACACATCCTTTCTCATTTCCTATTTATTTATTTATTTTAATTTTTTTCTTTTTATTGATTTTAGAGAGAAAGAAAGGGAAGAGGGAGAAAGAGATTTGTTGTCTCACATATTTCTGTATTCATTGGTTGTTTCTTATATGTGCCCTGACTAAGGATTGAACCCACAACCTTGACATATTGGGATGATACTCTAACCAATTGAGCTACCTGGCCAGGGTTTCATTTCCTATTTATTAATACAGGTAAATGGCAATTAAATCAATCTATTGCTATCACACACTATTAGGCTACCTTTTGTAAATCCTTTAGGTCTAATCACTATGGTTACCTAAAAATCACTTGGCAATTAAGCTAGATGAAATAACCTAAATATGTTCTGTGTGTCTGTAGTAAAAAAATTCTATTTAGGAAAATAATGTTATCAGTTGGAATATGGTCAACTTTAAAGTTTTAATAAATATCCTCAATATTATAAAGTCAAGTTTCCAATTTTATGACCATTTACTGACTCTTTTTTCTTTTTCTTTTTTTTTTTTGTACGTGCCCCTAGTGTGAACCGAACCCAGGACTCTAGTCCACAGGCTGATGCTCCAACCGCTGAGCCTAACAGGTCAGGGCATACTGACTCTTTTTTCTGAAGCACCACTTATATATAATTAATAGGATTTTATTTCAGATTTAACTTTTCTTTGTCTTGTTTCTCTTTCAATGCTTCTGGGAATACTTTAGAAGCTTCCACCACTGTTCTGTTTTTATAATCAAGTGATGTATGAAGAATAATCAGTTTTAGATTTCAAACTGTGCTTTCGTGCATGGGTATAAAATAAAATATATACCATTTACTTTTATGAGGCTGTTATTACTCAAATTCTATAGTGATAAGCATTGTGACTAAAACTTTTGTTTTTATATTCTTAGAACATTTAAATATTATGACTGGGTATCTCAAATAAAAAATTGGAGTATGTGGTTTAAAAATACTAATATGATTATGAGGACAAAGGGACAGTATATTTAGTTTTTCAAAAATCTAAGATGTATGGTGGTCATCTATCCATCATATAGGATTATGATTCCTTCTTCAGTTTATTCCTCTCAGACAGTAACATTTCTTATGTAATATTAAGTTATAGCAGAAATGAACTGCAGGAAATTTAATTCAGCATTCGCAAACCACAGAGATAACACTACACTCTTCCACTTAAAATTAAAAGGCTTTTGCACACCTAGTCAGAAACACTGACTGTAAATATTGGCTTTGTAAAATTGAAATATAAGTTATTTTCCCAAATCCTGTGGATAATGTAGTGTTTCCCTGGAGAGCATTGTAGTCTTCTCAAATACAGAAACCCCCAGTTTTAAGTTGCTTGCTGTGACATCTTGTCTACCCATATGGTTCCCTTCATCTTTGGCCTCAGTCCGGTTTGCTTTCATTTGGGGCTGATGCCACTTTGTTTTCTTTAACCAATTTGGCTAATAAATGCCTAAAATACATTTTACTATATTTAATTGCAAAATTGAACTTTGTTTATAACTAAGTAGAAAATATCAAATATGATATCATTATAGTGTAAGTTGGTCCAGCATCTGTGTTAGATTACATTATCCAAATACATGGAACAGTTAAATTTCTGATTTAGCCATACCCTGCAGGCAATAATCTGCTGTATCTTGTCAGTTGAAGTCTGTTTTATTGTTATTGTTCTCATTGTTCATGGATCATCCTTACAATTCCATTAATGCTGTAGAACTTTCAGTGGTTTCCTATATTTCTTATCTGTTACATTATTCCAGAATAAAATATTACAAAAGAAGGAAGAAAGCCCTCACAAACCATTTTAAATCAGGATTTAGGTAATAGTTCAAACCCTAGCCTCAAAATAGCCGGTTTCTTTTGTTTTTAATAAATTGTAATTCAAGGCATCTTGGCCCTAGGAAGAAACTGGGTTTGTTCCAAATGTTCATAGGTGCTAGAGATCAGCTGTCCATGTTCCTTTTACCTTATGGCAAGGCCACCTTAGTTAATGCCGCATCTTCCTTATCCGTCATTGCTTGGAAAAAGTCAGTGGCTGACATGGAAACAGCTGAGTGCCTTATTCTAAAGTGAAGTAACTAAATCGTGAGTTTGAAGGTTGGATGCAGAAACCCTGAGGATGGATATTTTAGTTTGTTGTTTTTGACATGGAGTCTTCCTATGAGAACTTAACAAAAATGAGTCCCTTTAAAAGCAGCCATTATTCAGATGTGGCCTTAGTTACCACTCTTTAAAGTTGAGCCTCAGTGGTGGGAAAATAGTAAAATACTAACAAATCTTTACTGAGGGATTATAGGGGAAAGGAAAGATGGGGACTGTAACACTCACAGTACATGTACATCCATGTCAGAGCTTTGGGGAAATGGTCCCCCAGTGCTGAGCTGAGAAGAAATAAATATAAGATTGTCATAGAGGGTCAGGCTGAGATAGACTGGGCAATATTAGATTAAAAAAATACATGTAAATATATCTTAGAGCATGCCTGGCGTTTCATAAGCTGATTCTTATGCAGAAGCTGGAGTGGAACCTAATGCTTAGGAATAGAAGACAACAATGGAAAGAGGGAGGGGCCAGGAATCAGGTGGTGCTCCTCCTCAGCATCACACCTCCTAAGAGTTCAAAGGATGCTTCCAATCTCAGACTTCAGGGAATCTTCCCCCAGGGCATCTATCTTGAGACTCAGGCAAATTTAGCTGATTTCAAGTCCACCTGAACTCAAAAGCCAGTGTATTCTGCATCTCCTTCCTCTAGCTGACTACTGGTGAGGGCAGACACCATGTACAAACATCTGTAAATCTGGAACTGCTGAATAGAAATAGGGAAGTTTAGTCCCTGGGACAAAGAGGCTTCCAGTGCCCCTTCAACAGGACTATGTATGTACAAAGCTAGCAAGTTACCCATGATTTCCATGACAAGAAGGATCTCTGAAATTAGAAAAGGAATGGTTTATGGATTGAAATATCATCTTAATTAAGACACCACAGAAAACCATCTAAATAAGTTTGGGGTCAAGAGACAACTGAGAACTACCAGTTGGCAAGAACTGGCCCTACTAGGAACCTCTGACTCTTCTACCTGAGTACTGCCTTCCTGTAGAATCTGTCACTCTAATTACCTTTGCCAACACTAATTCTGAGACCCAGTAGACTGTCTTTAGATTGTTGGCCTGTGTGTAACTACACTTTTCCTTTCCTTCATTCTTTTTTTTTTTTTTTTTTTTTATCCTCACCCGAGGACATTTTTCCATTTTTTGTTCAGGTAGAGTGGGAGGGAGAGAGAGGAACAGAGAGAGAGAGAAACATCGATGTGAAAGGGACACATCGAGTGGCTGCCACCTGCACAACCCAACCAGGGCCGGGGACAAACTGCAACCGAGGTACGTGCCCTTAGCGGGAACCGAACCCGGGTCTCTCAGGACCGCAGGCCGACGCTCTAACCGCTGAGCCAAACTGGCCAGGGCTCCTTCATTCTTTTTTTATAATATGCTTTTATTGATATTTTAGAGAGAGAGGAAGGGAGGGAAAGATAGAAACATTGATGTGAGAGAGAATCATTGATCAGCTGCCTCCTGCACACCCCCTGCTAGGGATTGAGCACACAACCCGGTCATATGCCCTGACTGGGAATTGACCCGGGACCTCTCAGTCCATGGGATGACACTCCACCCGCTGAGCCACACTGGCCGGGCTTTTCTTTCATTCTTTGTAGTGAAATGGAGACGTACAGCATTTTAAAAATTAATATGATTCAATACGAAACAAAAATTAAAAGGCAGTAATTACAGACACCTCAAATTAAGTCACATTTTTAAAGTCCAAGTTCTTGATCATAAGACAAATATGACCCTGTCCCCAAAACATTAATTTTCTGCTCTGGGTCTTCCTTCTACCACCCCACCCTGCCTGTTACCTGGTCAAAGTTTTCTAGCTGCCATGTTTTCTTTCCCTCATTTGTCCAAATGTTTTAAATGTTCAAACAATAGGCTGAAATAGAAAATAAGTAGGGGTGGCCTTACTTCAACTAGAGTGGGCAAGACAAGCCTCTCTATAGAGAAAATAATTTAGCCAGGAGCTAAAGAAGTTGGAGAAAGGGTGTTCCTGGCAGAGGGAACAGCTTGTACCCAGACAGACAAGAATGTGATGTCCTTGAGGAACTGAAACAAGTTCTATGGGGCCAAAGCATGTTGAGAGAGGGAGAGAGGGCATAAGATTAGGTTCCAGAGAAAGTCAAGGGCTAGATCATGTAGGCCTTGTGCGGATTTTATTATAATTGCAAGAAGCCACTGAAGGCTTTAAGCAGAGGAGAGACTATTTGATTTATCTTTGAGATCCTTCTTGTTGCTACATGGAATAGGGAATCAGAGAGGGAAAAATAGAAAAAGGAAAACCAGTTAATACGCCTCTGCAGATATCTGAACAAATAATGATCCTGGCTTAGACTAATGGTTTTCAAACTGTGGGTCACAACCCATTAGGGTCACACAATCATTTTGGTGGTTTTGACTAAAAGTATCAGTGAAATGGGTCACAACCCATCAGGGGTGACAATGATGTTTGTGGTTTTGACCAACAATGTCAGTGAAATAGAATGATGTGCAGTAGAAAATATCAGAGGCCATGGTATAGTTTCATGACATTTGCTTTCAGTTTTTTTATGCATATACACACAGATATGCAAATACTGGATTGTGGTGTAGAGTGAATTTATCACTAAGCATAGTGGTCATAGAAACCACTGGTTTATACTAAGGTGGTGATAATGGAGGCAGAAAGAAGAGGGATTTCATCAACATAAAGATACCTTTATGGACATGGAGATGGACCTGGTCACCTTGGAAGGGACATAAATGGAGAGGAGGCAGAGTTCTGTCATATATTTTATTTCAAGTATTATATTCCTATATTTATACCCTGCCTATTCTTTAAAAAATTGTTTGTAATAACCTATGCAGAATAAAAGTATAAGAAGATTGGCCCTGACCAGTTTGGCTGAGTGGTTAGAGCGTTGGCCCATGGGCCAATGAGTCATAGGTTCGATTCCAGCCAAGGTCACAGATCTGGTTGCAGTTCATCCCAGCCCTGGTCTGGGTCGTGCGGGAGGCAGCCAGTCAATGTGTCCCTCTCACACTGATATTTCTCTCTCTCTCTCTCTCTCTCTCTTCCTTTCTCTCCCTTCCTCCCACTCTATCTGAAGATAAACAGAAAAATATCCTCAGATGAAGATTGAAAATAAAAGAAAAAATATAAGAAGATTGTACCACTCATAGAGGAAAATTATATAGCTAGCCTTTTTTTTTTGAAGGGTACATAAAAAAAAAATAGGAACATAACCTGATGGTCTTCAGTAGGCCTTTCTCTCATCTTTTGGCTAGGCATTCCTTTTCTGGGTCATTGATATTCTCTGGGACAGTTTATAAACAAGTTTAGAATATTTATTTAAAAGCTGCATTTAGGGGAGGAAATATTAAACTCACTGTCTATTAAGCCTTCATTCCTTCTGAGAGGGAATGTCCCTTGGTCCTCTGAGGTAAAACGTGTAGCTTGATTGAACTTTCT